AAGTATGCGAAAGGCGAGATGACGAGAGATGGCGAAACGGGAGTACAGTGATGAAAAGAGAAGACTCGCCGTCAACTGGAAGACAGCATTGCAGCGTCTTGCAGGATCTCATCCGACTCTTGCCAAAACAAGGGCAAAGCGGTGCAGAGCAAATGACGTAACCACCAATCTCTATCTGGTTGTCCACCATCACCCACAATTTACAAGATGGCGACCAAATGCGCCCTATGTTCGACACCGTACAAAGACCCTTCTTCTATTCCCTGTGGTAGGTAACTCGTCACGCAGGCCGCTGCAGCTCAAGCTAATATCCTACCCACAGGCCATATTTTCTGCTTCCCATGTCTGCAATCACATATCGCCCAGACAAGTCAAGATGGCTACGACGCCAAATGTCCGACTTGCCAGCGAGACTTCCCATTCTGTTCGTCGCTTCGTCCTCCATGCGACGTCTCATCCTGATAATGTTACTGTCCATTTCAGCAACCCCTGATGTATGTCTCTGACTTGGAGCACACACCTTGCTCATTTCTTGCAGGTCAACCTCGTTATGAAACCACTTCAAAAGCATCTCCACTCTGGTATCCGCCGCGTCCACATCGACATTGATACCAAGGAGAAAGACACACTCGCCCTTGATCTTGCAGAGGCAAGGACCGCTTTGGCTGAGCTGCAGGATACTCTAGCTGATTCTCAATCCGTGCCGGCGGCGAGAGACGCAGCGCTTGAGGATGCCGCGACACAACTAGAAAATCAGGCGCGCAAGGCCGATGATCTTCAAACAAAGCTAAACGTCGAGAAGGAAGTCACGGAGAGGCAGAAGCGCGAGCTGGAGGGGCTTCGGGCTAATCAGATCGATGTCGCGAACCAACTGCAAAACCAGATGCAGAAGGCGGACGACTTGCAGGCTAAGCTAAATTTCGAAAAGGAGGTCACCGAGAAACAGAGGCGCGAGCTGGAGGCGCTTCGGTCTCAAAAAGTCAACGTGGAGAGCTCAAACGGTGTCCCCATTCCGACGGCCTCGGTAAAAATCTTAAGGCCTGCTGTCGCCAATGCGACAGCCTCATTATCCTAGCCACAACCTTCCGACAGTCCTCACTGCGCCTACCACACCCAAGCGCCCTTGTCCAGACCCCATCAGCGCCTCAGGGCATGCTGGTCCGGAGAAGCGTCCCCGGACAGACAGCGGACGTGGACGTGGACGAGCCGTGGCGATGCGGCCAATGCCACAAATCCTAGCTCACCCCAAAAAGTAACATACTGGAAGTCTTTAAGAACCTTACCTACGTGTAAGAATATGAACCTGCACCTGCAGCGTTCATAAAATCATTGATATTGTATCTGATGATCTCGCGGTGAGGCCACCTTTGTCAAAGACACGGACTCTGTCGACGAGGAAGCCAGTGCTTGAGGCGAAGTCCATAGCATCCCCTCCTCCATTTCTATGTCGCGAGTCGAAGTCGTCGAATCTTTCGACAGGCCCGAAATCAACGATATGCTCGCGGATGAACGTGATCAATCCGCGTCTGGTAGATCGCCTTCAGATAAAATGCGCGGATAAGAATCGCCCAGATCGACGCGGCTGAATCTGTAGACGAGCCTAAACGTTGAGAGCGGCTGGTCAGATCACATTCACGAGAGTGCAAGAACTTACGGAAGAATATCATCACGAGTCGACTCCCAAAATGATGGCCCAGAGTCGCAGCACTCGCTTCCACAAATCGCTGACAAATATGAGCATCTACCCCACTGATGGGATGCTCGTTCGGAGACATGGTCGCCGCCTGCGCATTGGAAAGGACATCGGTGGAACAGCCCGGCAACGACGGAAACTGGACTGCGAGTTTCTCTGACCAAAGGAGAATTGCCCGAAGCGTTCGTTGCCGATATGCCAAGCGACGTGAAGTTAACTGTGACGAAGAGGTCTGGTGTAACTTCCGGCAAATGAAGGAGAGGATATATGGCTGGGCAATGATATGGGCAATCCTTTCAGCCAGTAGGTTACCTGTCCATCAGCAGCTCAAAGAAATCTCTGGATTTTGGCTGGTCATAGAATCCCCGATGTCCATATCGACCGCTTTGTGATTCATTTGCATCATCGCGACAAGAAGGGCAGCAAGTATCTCTGAGTTATCGTCTGCATCGATGAGCAGGAGGATGGCTAGTCGGCGAAGGAAGAGATGAGATGAGCGCCGAACACCATGGCGGCGCACACGTTGAGTGTATGCGCCGCCAGCACGCACAACCATCGATGGCGGGAGGGAGAACGTGCTGGCGCTGTCATATCTCACAATCGAAGAGTAACAGAACATTTAATAGCTATTATAAAACAGAGCGGAAACTGCAATTTCTGAATGTAGGACGGTGAGCCCATGCGCAGTGAGAGAAGAACACAGGGCTTACAACAGACGACCATTTATTTAATCAGAAGACAAGTCTAACAACTTCCGGACATCTAGGTACGATCGGAGTGATTCCATATACGGTGGGAAGGGCGTACTTAGATGCCTCAGTGAGTGCCTCGGGGTTTTCACTAGACACTGGATGCCATCCCCGAATTATGACACCAACACGGGACGTTCACCATATTTCACGCTGGGAGTCCGTTCCGCCAGTGCTACGTGATCATCTCCACCGTGGTCCAAAACGTGTTGAATGATAATAAGGAATGCGCGGTCGAGCCTGCCGTCCTGAAGATCAGGAATATCGAGGTTTTCCTGGATTTTATACCAGCTAATGAAGTATCCTTTGACATATCCCTGAAAACGGGCAATCGTTTCAATCGAGCAATAAGGAATTGCGAAAACGTACCATATTTCTCAGTCGTTGTTGTGGTTTGAGGCCAAGTATGAGAGCATGAGATACGTGTCTTTACGCACCCAGCTGACCAAAGGCCGAAACGCACTATAGAAGGGGGCGTCAACAAGAGGACGCGTCTCGCAGAGATTGACACACCTCAAGAATTACAGCAATGCCGTTCCACCGAATATGGGCAACAGGATGGCGAGTAATTCGGAATCCCATCTCTGGGAACTGGGCTGGAGCAAGAGGATTAACACTAGGGCAATGATGCACCGTGGCCCTAATCACGACTCCGCGTGTCCTGACGTTGAAAAGCAGGCGTCGTCCAAATCCACTTCCGGCAATGTGAAGGTCCAAGTCGTCCTTTAGTCCTGTAACCAAACCCTATATGAGTGACAAGTCGACGATATAGGCAGGTTTACCTTCTCATATATGGTCGGTAACGAGACTAGTCGTCCATGAGCTTCCCGAGTTGTGGCTGAGGCCTGAGGTGGAAGCTTTACTATATCTAGAGCAAACATCAAGCCTGGATTGTCCGACGATCCTTATCACCGTCAGATGTTGTGTTGGAAGGCTGCTGCCGTGGAGGATAAGAGGTGTCGCAGACGAGGTCTTGAGGATTCAAGTGCATGTTGGAAGGTCCTTGACCTGTCGTTCCCCGGATGCCGGTCCGGTAGGGCCGACTGAAAACGTGTGTTACGTACATCAAAGCGTGTTCTCGCGACCTCCAACTCACTTTCATTTTGACAAAACGTGGACAACGTTCTTCCGTCTATAAACCTGTCCCTCACGCCGCTTCAATTTACATCGAGCTAGGAGTCACTACATACCTTGTTCCCCTCGGTTCTCGTCGCTGCTGCTGCCTCGTTGCTCAGCCCTTAGGCCTTACACCTTTGCGGCTTTGCCCAGCACAAGACATATCGAGTCAGCTGATGAACTCGTATCTCCTCATGTTAGATTCGTGCACGATAAGGGAGTATCGGGATCAAAGCATGTCTACATCGTGGCAAAACAGTATAAAGGACGCTGATCAAAGGATTTCTTTCAACGCTCACTCCCCCACATTCAGGATATTTCCTCCGTCCTTCTCTCTTCATCGACCATCACATAGTCTGAAATGGCTACCACTACGCCCTCTACTGAGTGCGCCATCTGCGTCAGCTTGTATAAAGACGCCGTTTCTGTCCCATGTGGTGGGTCTTTCAAGCTTGTTGTTGCCTCTTTGATGATTAATTTGCGTTGTAGGCCATGTCTTTTGTCTCCCATGCTTGCAGGCCTACATCGCGCGCTCATGCAAAGACATGATGGCGCCGTGCCCAACGTGCCGCGTGATGTTCCCTTGTGGTACGTCGACTTTATTGACGGCCGTTTCAGTACTAATTTACTTGTCCCCACATATGCAGTGACCCCCGACGTATGTGCGTTTATTTGTTTCTTGCTCGCCACATACTGACTCCTCTCTCTCGCAGCCGAACCTTATCGCGAAGAATCTCCAGCAACACATACACCCCAGCATCCGAAAACTCTTCATCGATATTCAGGTTGATGGTTCGGAACTTGCCAAGATTAAGAGCGCGTTGGCCGCCTCTTCTTCCAAGGCCAACAATCTCGCAGCAGACATAGAGAGGAGGGACAGGGATATCGCCATCGCCAACAGAAAGATCGAGGAACTGAAACGCCTGCTCGGAGAAATGAACGACATCCGAGCAGGTAAGATTAAGGCGGAGATGCAGGTTGAGGCTCTCAAGCGCGAACTGGAAGACCTGCGAGGCTGTGATAGTCCAGTCAACGTGAAACAGGAGGCGGATTTGGACTTGGATCTGAAGGTAAAGAAGGAACGAAAGCCCTCCCCCGGGTTCTTGGTGTCGGGTGCGAGGCGTGCCAGTGGAAGGGAGGCAGAAAGGAGTTCGTTGGAGGACAGACTGGAGCCGCCTAGAAAAAGGTTCCGTTCGCCCAGTCCTAGCTCTAGCTGGTTCTCTAGACCAAGCCCTCGTCGCACTTCAGCCGCAGTGCGCGATCGCTTCAGAGACTAATGTTTGAGTTCAAGTCCCTACGTAGAACATATTACAGCACACGATTACCAGTGTACTTACAGCTAGTGTATGCTTGAGAGTGTAGAACAGTGTATTCTGTGTGCGTTATACCGTAACCTATCCATTGTATCCGAGCCGTGTGAACTGTATGAAAAATTGACGCAAGGCGCTATAGTGTAGTGGCAGCACATGGGATTCTGATTGTCCAGCCTTCCCATAACCCAGGTTCGACCCCTGGTAGTGCCTCGAGCCTTCGTCTGAGCTTTTTGCTTGCTTGAAGTTTGAACTAAGCCTGGAGCCAGGAGCCTCCAGGAACTTCGAAATTCGAAGAATCGAACTTCGAACTTCGAGAGTCGAGACATATGAGTCATCACCGTCACCCAGGGGCCAGGACCCTTGAGGCTTGAATCTTCCCACTTACCTCTCAGTTCTTCAGACTGACAGTTCAGTCATTTTGCTTACTCCAACGTCCACGCCACCGTGTTTGCAGCACCGTCCGTCGTCAACTACTTATTGTTAGAAAGCGACTTCTTGGGCTACGTGCCTAAATCACTTCTAGAACACTTTGAAGGGGAACTGTTCGATCATGCCCACTCAGATTTCAGGGCTTGAACCCTGATGATGCAAGCAACCTGACTTTACGGCCGAAGGCCGAAACACCCGGAATCATCCCGAGTGTTGCGCAACGCCCTTACGAGTAAACAAACCATTCTTGTCACAGCCATCCGCCTTCCCGAGAGTCGCGACCTCGCTTATGGAAACCCGATTCCAGAGCGCAGTCTCCTTATATGTCGCCATAGCTTACCTTTGATTTTGTGCTCATTACCATGTCATACATCTGATTTGAGGATTTCATTGGCTCAAAGTGTGGTCCAAAACAAAGCAGTTCTTTCGATTTAAACTGCCCGCTTCGGCGTGTCAGAGAGAGTCGGCGGGTTTCGAGTCGCGCACTGACCACGTTCTGAATAACGTCTCGGGTGGCGCTCACGTGAGGCATTCAAATGTCGTCTTCATCGGCAAAGGGACAGACTTTGACACCTTGGCCTATGGACAAAGTCAATCTGCAATGGTTCTCAACTATGACTGATGTGTGTTACTCGGCAGGGAACAGGCTTTCCATTTCCATCGGTCAGCAATTTACAGAAGCAACGTTTATTGTCAGACGGGTGACCTCGAGAGTAGGCAAAGGACTGATCTGGGTGGTACCGCCTCTCAGAATCAAGCCCAAAGAGGTGACCGATGGTTTGGCCATCAACGGACGTCGTTTCCGGATATTCAACCAGAGTCCCAGTGTCATATGTATATAACTTGCTTAGAGTCGACATTCGAGTAATAGGAATATTGTACTTTATTCATGAAGCAAGTGAGCGGCATAAAGAAGGAAAGACAGGATGCAAAGGAATGTCTGGAGCTGGATTGAGGAGTTGATCCCAGGACAGCATAACTAACATGAATGGACTTGTTGTGCACCATGGCGGGTCGTGTCCGACCGCCCCGAGCCCAGAATCCACGCCTGGCAACACTGCCATGATACGGAGGCGCAACGAGTGACACTGAGCTTGATGACGAGATCAGACGTCTGCGCCGACGCGCATGTCACATCACAGACTTTGATGCACGCCCCGGTACTGGAGAACGGGCAAGCCGACGGAGGAACGGCCGTTGACGTTAACGAACCTGGCGGAAGGGACGGTACCTCATTCGGGGTTATCTCAGTGGGCATGATCGAACTATGGCACCAAGTGTTCCCACTTAACCCACCTACTTAGGTCCCCATCCCTACCCAGGATGGCGACCTAACTAGGTGGGTTAAGCCATTATTTACCATCGCCTTGCAAACAGTTAGTCAGTACGCAGGCTAAGTACCGGAAGAGGGTCCGGTCCTCCCGACGGACATCACGCCATGCGAGCCGGGGTCACACGCCCGCTCGTCGCGATCACACCGGGTCCCGCTCATCATCCCGCCGTTGCTGCGACTGTCTTCGTCGGCGTCGCACTTTTTTCTTGTAATGACAAAATATTATTATATAAATTGAATTGTAGCCATTACACAAAGGCTGTAAGTATGAATGTAGATGTATGATATATCCCGCATGATACGGCGCGTCGTGATGCGAAGCCTCTGCCTATGCGGGTATCCATCGCCACCATCGTCGCTAGCTCTTCTGCGCGCGCACCGACCTCCTCAACTTCATCCTTGATGCCGCCTTGCAACCCGGCCCTTGCTCTACTGCGGGTGCTGCCTCG